AGAGAGAGAGAGAGAGAGAGAGAGAGAGAGAGAGAGAGAGAGAGAGAGAGAGAGAGAGAGAGAGAGAGAGAGAGAGAGAGAGAGAGAGAGAGAGAGAGAGAGAGAGAGAGACAGAGAGAATTCTCGGCTATACAACCGCGTCTAACGTCACTGTGTTCATTACAAGGAAGGATCTTACCAAACTCACCATTTACATTATGCTGTCGCATGCAACACTTGCTACAGATGGTTGGATACTTCTTCCTCGGGGTTACTCTCCCTTGAACTGGACTAGCTCGATTTGCTTTAAAACTAAATGGCTATTATAAACTCGAACTATGAAATACGCATGTACTTAAACGGAGTTTATGTAAGAAAATTAATAAACTATAGAAATGACAAAATTGCGCGTTACGTTATTAATACACGGGATAAAATGTCTACTTCAAATATCGTGGGAAGCGCGCGTATCGATTTCGTTGCAGCTCGCGAACTCCCGCTGGATAGAAGCTTAGAAGCAATATTTCTTTTGCGGCACTCTATGCTAGTGCAAATAACTTGCTAATAAGAAAAGTCATTTTCCATTAACGCGATTTATGTACCCGAGATGCGAACTGCTATGCTACCATTTGATTAGAAATTTAATTGAAATATCGTTTTTCACGGCAGAAAATGTTTTACAGATTGAGTTTGTTCCAGCAAGTGTCTTTGTCTCTGATTGTTTTACGTGATCGCTTACGCGAGGAAATCCAATGGTATTACAGAATAAAATAGGAACTGATTGCAAGTACACTATAAATTTCAGGGGAAAGGAACACTGACTAAGTAAGTCGAAATATGCAATAAATAAAATTTATTTAATATACAAATATAAAAATACATAAAAAAACTTTATAATATATATTAACATATAATTTTTAATGCATTTAACAATTTTTACTAACAATAAAATAATTTTATTTCAGATAGAACCAATCAGCTTGATCCAATTTTAAAATGATAATTAAAATCTTAATTCAGATTATTAATGGTCACGCTGTAAAAATGAGAAAAAAATATTTTTCAATAACTTCAATAAAGTTAATTTAATAGATTTAATTTAATACTTATGCAGTGCACGTATAAAACAATGATTAAATTTACTTTTATATAATATTTAAATTAAATTAATAAGAAAAATTAATATAAATTAATTATGTTTCTGTTATCGCGAATATGTTGAGATATAAAATTTGCAATTTCCATTACGAAAGAAAAATCGAATATTCCGCGTAGCTGGAAATGATGTGGATATTGATTAGTATATTTACATTTGGCAATGGTATCGGCCAAGGTAGTCGAGGATTAAATGGGCCATAGCCAGGGCCGCCTCCTGGTAAGCGAAGTCTATGTTTCGGGAGTGCATGAGTATCGGCAAACAGAGCGCAGATTGCAACTAACAGCGTCACGATGTATGCTGCAAACCTCATGTTGAATATGTTGCTCTGTAAAGAAATGAAAGATGTCGTTATGGGGAAAGAAAATCGCATGTATAATTCAATACTATTGATTTCTCGATAACTTTCGCGTACGTGCAAATAAAAACAGTTCGTTATTTTTAGCTATGCCAGACGATTATTTAGGATTTTTTTGCGGCACCGGAGGTCGCACCAAATCTAAAATCAAATTAGAAGCACTTCTGACTTTAAAGCTGTTCTATTACGTCGTATCAGGCCGTATCAGAGTGTATTTATTAACAATTGTATATGAGCAATATAGATATATTATATAGATTTAATTATATAGATTTAATTAATGCTATTATAAAATAATTAACAATACAAAGTTACAAGAATTAGATTTTTAATTATCGAATCTAAAAATTATTTTACTATACCTTACTTTGACTGCAGCAAAATACGAATCATGCTCCGACTACGCATGCTACTTATATATCGTCATCGTTTGATGTATAAGACGCCAAAAACAATGCGAGAAATCCCAAGTTGCGGGGAAATCCCTAAGGCTGTGTCCATCAGCACGTCCATAATCGCAGCCAGTAACATCATATCTCTTGTTGATGATCTGACGTGATTTTACCGATGTCAGTCGAGGCGCATGCGCTTTTCGTATGTTCGGAGACTATCTGTAAATTGAATTTTGTCATTACATTTCACGCACAGTTTTTACTAGTGTAATTCAAATATTTTCACAAAAGCGCTCTTTTAAAGCGAACATTAATATTATATAGTATCAGGTAACAATCTGATCTTTTTATTCTTCTACGGTTACTATTGCTATACATAATATATATTATTACACGTGAAATTTTAGAGTGAAATTGCATGGACGATAACTGAAAAAAAGTTTGTTTAAACAAGCTGTCTGTACATTTGTAGAGTACCGAGCAATTTAAAGAAAAAATATTTTTTTATTTATATATCAAAAGTAGTGGAGTCACTGTTGCGCGATAGACTGTTTGAAAAAGAGAAAAAAAGAGAACGAACAAAGAGAATTATAATTGAGCCAGCAATGAAAAAAAATAAAAATTATTACACAGTTAAAGCAAAGAACTTGCAAACTATGTAAATGATACAAATAATCAAAAGAATTAAAAAAGTTAGTGAGTTTACGAGGAAAAAGCAACAAAATAAAAACATATGTTACGTATGAGCGAAATCTTAAAATATATATATATATTTTTCGACGATATCTCAAGTGCGCAAATTTGGAGGATGGCGTGTTATTAAGTAAACATTAAAACGTCGTACTTTCAAAAATGCCATCGTAACGCGTGTCAGCAGAAGTCATTGATACACTCTATGCCAACTGGGGGGGGGAAATTAAATATACGATTCGCTCGTGAGCTGTAGATAAATATTATCGCCCGGCTTGGCATGATACGAAAGTAAACTTTGAACTGCTGGAAGATTACCTATTTTCAGAAGCGCGTACGGTTCGCGTAAAATTATGGGACTATCTATCTCGTAAGAATGCATTTTCTCAGTTGCGAGGGGACTTGCCCGCGACGGGGGGACGTATCGACGCGGGCTGGTACGCGAACAGGAACTTTTACTTGGGCATGAAATATAAGGGCGGCTGGAGTTTGAGGTCGTTTACTCGTTGATACGAGAAAGCTGGGTGGGTATCTCGCGGGGAAAGCGAGACGTCTCCTGAACCTTACATCTCCGGGGTCTAGAAACCAACAACGTTTCTACTTTGTCTTACTTTTCTAAGCGCGCGGTGAGAAGAAGCGAATAAATATATTAGGCTTGACTATAAACGACCAGCTTTATTAACTGTCACAAAACGAAACGTACGGCTCCGATAGTTACAGTTAGAGGGCGTTGCAGTTATGACCAAGGGGATATTCGATTCGAGAAACGGAAAATTGAAAATTATTCCAGCGCACATATTTAGCCGAGCATTATTCTTTGCCAATTTGCAATACGTTTGATTACATTACTAATTATATGCAGAATAATTTATTATTTGTTTAATAAGCATGGTATGAGCGTATACGAAGCAATATTTGCACAAAATATATATATATATATATACAAAATAATTTACCTTTCCATTACGACGATCCGATTCTACCGATCTGATAATATTCTCTTTATAGCTCTGTGACGCAAACAGATTTATGATACGTTACAAACTCAATTATCATGTTGCAATGTGAAAGTTACATTGGAAATGACGTTCGCATTTCGTTTGTTACAAAAGTAGTTCTAATAGCGAATAGCTTGCCGTTGACAAACGGCAGGAGACTTAAGAGCGTATTACGACAAGTTGCTATTACGCGTGGAGATCGCATTCCGCATTTTCATTTCGCGATCGTATTATGGCATCGTAACGATAATGTAATCAGCTAGCCAGACATAACGGTCGATAATTATCTTTCTACTAAGTTAGCGTCCATAAGGAGCGGCGTTTTATAGAGTTCCGTGGATTGGGGTTATTACCTATACCGAACAACTATCCTGGGGAAATATTTTATGGAGCAGTTCAGTGGTAATGAAGGTGTTTACATGCGGGCAAGAAGGCGTCTCGCCGGGCGGTAGGTAATTAGGACACCCTCGTCTACCTACGCGATAGGCATTGCCAGAGGTAAATGCGACCGAGGTGCACATGGAGCGCTGGGTGGCGCACTCGTTATTTCGGGGCTTCCGCTCGTATAATGTATTAGCGTAATTAGCGTTATCAGATCCACGGACAACGAGGAGTCACTCGTTTATAGGATTGCGAGAACCGATGGGCGACCAATTCGAAAATCCCGGGGAAAAATCGAACGTAACGAAATTACGTTCGGGATATTCATCGTGATAAGAGAAACGTTTTAAAAGTTTAACCAGTTTGCGCCAGTTACATTTCGCGTGTGATCTAAAAAGCAAAAGTAACAAACGTGTAGAGAGCCTAAGATTTCTTATTCAGAACGACGATTTCATACACCCTCGATTGTTTTGCACGTACGATAGCGAAGAAAAGGATGTGAAATAACAAACGATATTTAGATTATACTTGAATTTATATTTTTTATTACAAAATCTCCATATGTCGTCTTATCTCAACATTTGTTGTACGTATGATTGATCGTTTTACAAAAGCAAGAGCAGTTCTAATAGATGCATCATTTTTCAGTACGTGATGTTAATACAAATAGATATTAATAAAAATCATCGTTTAATATCTTTAATATCTTTTAATTTTCGGATTGTAAGGTCCCTGACCGGGAAAAGTCGGGAAAGGTTTCCAACCACCTGGAGGCGGTGATCTGACCGTAGATTTGTACGCAAAGGCTGCCATCACTGTCAAGAGCAGAGCAAAGATGAACAAGTGAAGTCTCATATTGCGTTCTGAAAGGCAAGTATATATATATATATATATATAATTATTATATATATATATATATATATGCGGCTTTCTTCCATTAATGTCACGACGCTTATTTCGTTTACGGGAAGGTACCGAATCTTATCTCGCTCGTAACAGCAGTCTAGGACGGTTCTTTCTATACTTAATCTAAGCAAATAGTGTGTGTGGTGTGTGTGTGTGTGTGTGTGTGTGTGTGTATGCATGCGGGAAAAACCCGTTCCTCTCTGTATTTCACGACGCTTTCTCGGTGTACGAGAGAATGTATGTATGAAAGAATATCTCCTGGAGGTAGAAATTCAAAGAAACCGGAATTACCGAAACGTGCGCGTGTGGGATGCGGGAAGCGGGAACTCCCCCCCCCTCCCCCCGTTAAACATTTAAACTTCTAATTTTCTCTCCTTGCTTTCTGTCATTGTGTATTTTCGCTGGGGACAAATAATGTGAGGCGAGGAGCAATGAGATAGGATATATGATGCATTTGTCACTCAATACTTTATACCGCGTGCATTACCATTTATTATTAATTTTTGTATTATCTTTTATTTTTCTATTTATCATATTACGCATCTGCATATATATATATATCGCGAATTTTTATCAGTTCGTCGTCATAATTATACGGAAATTTATAAAAACCTCGGTGAAACGGAAATTCGAAAATTAAATATTCGATGCGCCAAATTTATATACGTATTTATATTCGAATGTAACGAGCATACATGATATCAATACGAAATTTCGCAAGGGAACCCCGCCTTTTATTTGACTCTTTTAGCGATCGGCAAATCGAACCGTCTCTGAGAATCTGCAGCGCCTTACCGCTACTCCCATAACCACCCACGTTCCTGCAACCCTCGTCCTCCCCCTCCTTTCCACCTGCACGATTGAACGTGAGCCCAACATCAGAATAAAACTACGACGAATTCTACCTCCATCACGTTAACGTTCCTCCTCCGTCTTCTATCGTAGAGACCATTTATTTCGATCGTAACCAATGTCGTTTCGCAGTTCACTTCAAAGTGGAACGGGCTGCCTCTATCGCCATCGGTAAAACGCGACGTCATTGACGTTACAAGATGATTCATACTAAACCAGTGGCCTATTTCTTTGCTTGAAGAAATTCACTATTAAGAAAGTGCCGTGATATATTACATTAGACACGAAAACAGCATACGTTAAATTAACGTACATTTCATTAATATTTAAAATCTAGATGAAATATTCAATTATCACAAACTGTTAACGTACCGCAGAGAATATTTGTAAAAATTAATAGTTATCGATCAAAATAATTTTCATTCAGATTGATTAATCTTATACTAAAAGTATCACGATCGTGAAATATCCTCTTCGTCTAATCGTTTTCATAGCACGGAGAAGCGATGAGAGAATGTTTTATTTATAATGATAGCGGATACGTTAGACCTTTACCCAATGCTGATATATATAAGATAAAATGCAAAATCAAAATGAGTGCATAAATGGGCCAGGGAAATCTCTGAGATACATCATCGTCTGCTTTTGAAAGGCACTGAGAACCATTGAGAACTCGCTAGTCCTTCGGAGCTTACAAAAATCACCTCCGATAGTAAATATTCATGCCGCATAGGCGTTGCCTTGACTCCCTATGACGAGGCATTTACCTCCTAGTTTCGAAAGTGAGTCGCTTTATCCTCAACCAGGTATTTTTATGATTAGATTCTATGCGTTTTGAATTTACGAGCAGATATAGGACTTATTGTTAGACGTCTCTGTGACTTCACATTGAGAGGATATTCATAAATCATCATATATCTCTTTATTCATTAAGAAAAAAAAAAAACAATTTATCAGCTACTTCAACGTCATTGATTAACGATTCGTGATAACATGCCCGCTTGAATAAACGCGTGCATGTGAATTTATTATCTACGTCCCATTGAGAAATACGATACTCATAACGCAATTTATATTGAATAGTAATTCTTATAATGCATATAATTTGAACACTGTTGATATTATCTCGTTATATATTGTGCATATATTATATGGACACAGCATATAATACATCTTTCGCCTTTAGCAGTACGTAATTAGAAATACTTAGCATAGTAATAGCAATAAAATAAAAAAGCTTGTTGAAGTGAGTTTGTTTGAAGTGAATTTATTTAAAATTCATTAAATTTTCATAAAACATTAGAATACGTAGCATGTGATAATACAGCTAATACATAATACGCATAATATAAAGTTTCTTGTTAACGTTGATTACTTAACGTGTTGAAATATTCACGTCACGTGCGAAGAAGATTATTGTAACTTATAAGAGGATAAAGATGGCTCGTGGTAGAGCGAGTCTTGCTCTAAGATAATTATGAGTTTTTTTCTTATGCTTCTTTGGCAAATTTATCGATATTGTGAATGCTGTTGCTGCCGTTATTGACTTCTGGTGAGACTCTGCGATTGATAAACGCCTGCCTGATAAAAGCCTTGCCGTCCTCCACGTCGGATGACAGTCTCTGAAAGGAAAAGACAGAAGATTGTAGGCAGGCTCAAAAATCACCGGCTCACCGAATCAGTAGCCGATGAAATAAGAGGAACCAGGACTGGGAAGGGATCACCAGAGGACGACCATTATTCCTTCCGCTCCATCGTTCAATATTTTCTTGAAGCCCCTTGGTAAAAGAATGAAAGACATAAAATCTTGTATCGAATCACAAGATAGTAAAGGCGTCAACTGCCACCGAGCCTGGATCGGGGAACCAGGAAACATAGATTGTACATTTAGTATTGATAACCATGCAAAGAGGTCAATGTCAGAGCGATCGAGAATAGCTGATATGTGAAGGAAGGCGGACTGGCACCATTGTCCATACCAATTTTCCTGGATTTATTATCCTGGATTCGCGGTCCGCAATAAGATTATCGATTGAGGCGATGTAAGATGCGAAAATCATAATGTTGCGATCTTCGCACCAGTGCCAAATTTACTTAGCTATTGCCAGATAAGAATATTGAACAGAGCCGAACTAATTGACAGGCCGTAGTGTTGTCTATTCTAAGAAGAACCTTACAGTCCTTGAGGTCCGCCGCGAAACATTGGACGCATAATAAACTGCTTTGAGTTCCAGAAGATGTGTCTGGACTTGTCATGATTGGATCATCACCCATGGATATGGAACTCGCCGCATAAAGCATGATAAAGATACATCTAAGAAAATTTCACGAAGTCGGAACGGATGACATTTGCCTGAGACGGGTTTGAAAATATGTTAATCCATCACTAAAAAATCTGACAGCTGGGAAGGGATGTTCATCATGGCTGAATAATTGCCTCTAGCATTTGCTAAAGCTAGAAGTTTCGTTCTCTCAAAGTCTTTAGTGTAAAGTAGACCATATTGTACTGCGGGGCAAATTAAAATCAGAGATCCGATTAGGCTTGCAAAGACTTGGGTGCGACACTTAGATTTCTTTCAAAATTTTAAGATGTACTTTAGGAGATTATTATGTCATTGTGGAGGTATTGCGATAGATTGAAGTTTTGAATCAAAAATAAATCCTAAATATTTATCTAATGCTCTGCGCCGGATCTAATTGAAATTTTGAATAATTAATTAGAAAACCTAATGATAATAACAGATCGATAGAATTATTTAACTTGTGTAAGCATTCCTCTTTTGAAGACTAAGAAGGAGAAAATCATCTATATAAACAACAGAGCAGAAATCTCTTGCTCGTAAATGTGTTACCACCGGCCATATTATTTTTGTAAAGATAAACAGGGCCGTGACCAGACTAAATGGTAAGGCCGTAAATTTGTAGACGATTTGCCGCTGGAAGCGGAGGAAACGACGATGTTCCTCAGCTATCGGCACTAACAAGTAAGCATCTTCTAGGTCCAGAGTGGTCGCTATCCATAATTCTGCAGTCATGAGTTGAACTACTGAACGCCAGCTTGAAACGCTCTTCCAGCTGAAAAAAATGCTGTGGAGAGAGATATAAGTTCAGATCTTTAAGGTTTAGTGTGAAACACTTTCCACCTGACGCCTTTTCAACAAAGAAAAAGAAGGATAAGAATTGATCATCCGAGGAGACGGTGGCGACTATAGCTCCCTTAGACGATAGATGCTTAATCTCGCTATCGCAAGTCCTTGCTTGGTGAGAAAATGGGCAAGAAAGTACGGGGAGGAGGAGAGGATATGAGTGGTATCCCGCAGTTGCCTGGAGGACCTGTCGATCACTTATTTATTCTATGCACATAGGTGAAAAGCTAGTCTCCTCGCTGTTTTTACTTGAATTAGCGCATTCGGGACCTGGATCTGGACCGGGGTCGTCACGCGCGGCTCGCTGTCTAGAGTGCCTCTGTCCGGCGAGCCGCCATTGATTCGCTTGAAGTTTAGCGACGAGGTTTAACGGCCTCGATTGCACATGCCGTCCTGCGTTCGGTCTGGCCGTTGTATTCAAGGCGCAAAGAAAAATCTTTTCCAGAGCTTCCAAAAAGCTTTCTAATGTATTTTGAGTATCTACTATCTTCTCGCGAATCTTCGAAGGGTCCACGATTCGTCGGACGAAGAAAGGCTTGGCGAGGCATTAAGCGTTAATATGGCGGGATTTAACCTTAGCCAGTCGCGTGATCTCTCCCTAGAAGTCTCTCGAAATCTTCGTGTTCTCTTTCGAGACTGATGATCTGATGAATTTCTATAACTGCTTTGAGATATCCTAATCAAAAAATGTTAAGAAGCTTCTATTCAGAGAAAAAGGAAAAAATATAAAATGTTGAACTGCAACGCAACAGAAACACAATGAAGCGGCAACGCGCCCACGGCTTGCGTTGAGCACAGAAAGAGGGCGCGGACTTCACAATCGGAGTTTTTTTACTTGTTCAAACATTTTTTGAACTGTTGGTTGCGCGCATGGGGAACATGACTACATTTTTCATCCGGACGAGACCACCGGGGCATAATTTTATATTTGATAATCCTGAAAAAAGTATTTTTTTCATTTAATTTATACGCAAATCATAATTTTTTGATTGCAAATTACACGAGACTTGTTACAATTATGTCATAAGATATTCTCTATTAAATTAAATATTAATTAAATATTAACAAAAAAGATTCTCGATATGATAAAAATGAGTATTATATGATTAATGAAAATCAGCGCTGTAAACAGTGCACAATTATACATTTAATCTTAATTATATTTAATAAAAAAAACTAAACATTTCGACTCGAATTTGAGTCATCTTTAGTACAAAAATATAGTAAGGATATATCTCTAAGTCTAATCGGTGAACTCAACCATAAAAATGTTAAAATGTTTTTGGTTTACGAACGTAATAGAATTCCGAAATGCTTTTCATTAAAAGATAGAATAACAGCTTAAATTTACAGTTTGATATTGAATATTTACATTACGCATATGTTTCTATCTTAAGCAAATTACAGACTTGTTTTGTTTCTTGTCAGTCTTTAAAATCATTATTGCTCTCAGTTATTTCTTTAAACTGGAGGTATAACAAACTTCTATTATAATGTATTACTGTAATGAGATTTATATTACTTTATGTGTTTTTTTTTTATTGTGTTCATCTGATGAATGACAATCATTTTGTATAATATTCTCTCTTTTTGAATATATCATCTCACATTGAAAATTTATCTAGTAATTAATAATTTCACTTAATGAATCGACGTGAGTGACATATTATCATTATTTTTTATGGTTGAGCTCACTGATTGGATTCAGAGATATATCCTTATATTTTTGTTGTCACTGAAGATAACTCAAATTCGAATCGAAACATTTGACTTTTCTTAAACGTAATTAAGATTAAAAATAGTTGTACAGATTTCCATATATATATATAATTAAACAACGTTGTATCACTATGTCGTCCGATAAATCTTACGAACCCGGTCGTACTCAGAGAACTTTAGAGTAATATTATTTCAGGATGAGGATTGTGTGATGTTTCACGGATAATCAAAGCTTGACTGGATCAACGTTTGACAATTTCCCAAGCTTATGTACTATTCATATCTCGCAATTATCCTCCCTTAATATTTCGCAACGTGACTAAGGCATATTTATTTCGCATAAATCCCCTCGTCAAACATTTTATAATGAATGCTTGTCTAATTTGACCAGGCTATTGACGCCAATTACTCATCCGGTGATTCGCTCATAAAAACACGCGAATAAACAACGAGCACGTCAAGTGACCACGTCATATTATTGCAAGTGTGTTGCATTATGGCAAAATATAAGTAATACTGTTTATTTTTCTGCTTATAAAATCGGATTGATATATAACGCCGCATAAATTTCTAATCACGGCGGAAATCACGAACGCGCGTAATATTATCTGTCAATATTTGACATTATAGTGCCGAATAGTTGCGGTAGGCTGACACAACAGTTGAATTGTGACGGTATAATATGAGCATCTATATCGTTCTACGGATTTGTTATCACGAATCAAACAAATACAAATGCAATTCCAGTTCGGGTATCGTCATATACATGTATATAAATGCATTTTCGACGTGTATCTCTAGTCAATACCAATTTTATCACACAAAATAAATAATACGAGATAAATAATAAAGACGCGTACTATTCGGCCAATAAAATCGTGGAGCGATAGTATTTGTAAAACTCTTTTTCATAGGTGCCCGCGATCCGACGATCCTGAGTTCCCTCGACAGGCGCGCGTTCGTACCTATCTACGGAAAAACGTGACGAGTATCATCGACTTTGGAAAACACTTTCGTCCAGGCGCACTGCAGTTTCCCAGCGACAGCTTTTGCAAGAGCGGTAGCGACCCTACGTTACGTCAAGAACGCGCATTCGGCGCGGAAACGTCTACTCCGGCCGATAGGAATCGACGGGCGAGAAAGGGTGGGAGAGAGAAAGGGGAAGAGAGAGAAAGAGAGAGAGAGAGAAAGAGGGAGGGAGGAAGAGAGAGAAAGGGCGGAAATGCAGAAGGGGGATCGAATACAGCCGTGAGAAAGACAGGGGGTGAAACGACGACGTTCGCTATACGTGGCCTGAAACTGGCAGGCGAAGGGGTGAGCGGTTCCCTCGGGAGCTTGCTCGGCTCCCGCGCGTTACGGCGCGCCGTCTCCACGGCGCGATCTATCGCCCCATTGACCGCCACTCCATTATCAGGATAGTAATGCCGTAACCCCGTATCCGTAACCCTGCCCTACTCGTGTCGCTCTACGCCTTTACTTTACCCGGGAATCCACCACGAGCCCGCCCTTTTGTTGGTTTATCGAAACAACCCTTCGTTACAACTGTTCGAGAGAAAGAGAGGGAGGGGGAGAGAGAGAGAGAGAAATTTCGGGAATAATCATGATCGGAACTGATAATTTTCAATATCAAGATACGATCAAGAACAAATCTGTCTTAAAATTTTCTTACATCTTAAATTAAATCTTTTCTTTTCTTAATCTTTCCTTTTTCAGATCCAACGAAAATCTTATGTAAAACCGCTATTTGTGAATGAATCTTTGCTTGAATCAAAAACGCTAAATATGTCGACTGTTTCCACATTCCACATATTGTAAAGGCAAATATACTGTGCCGTACTGCATGAATTTTTGATCGAAATACGTGGGTAGTCATGCACATATCGTGCACGGTCGCGATAAATATTTAGCAAATTTGCTGCCAGCGGCACAATATTGGTTTTTTTTCGCCTTTCGTTTGCAGCCGCAACCGTTAGTCTTTGTTGCAAAGAATGATCATCGTGATAACTCGAACAGTATCGCAGATTAAAATTTATAAAGTTACATTTAAAAAGAAACAAAATTTCGCACTTAGAAATAAATGTTTGTCTTTTGTAATTAAATTTTTTTTTATTTTATAAACTCAAACATATTTTAATACAATTCACAATTTATTAATTGCAATATCAAGCTTGAATTCAAATTTCTAAAGAAATCAATTTATTATTAGATTTATTATTAGATACTGTAAAGGACACGCAAAAACAAATGATATGCAATATTTTGTATCACAAAAAAGTAATACCTTTCCGGGCGTCTGAAAATTGACGGTAGCAAGTTGCAAGTTGTTCACGAGCGCGCCTTGCAGCTTTTGGCTACGAGGATGCCCGAATTAATTACAGGCCACTTCTGACCTAACGGCAAACTAGAATCCGCTGCAGCTATAATTAAATTATATATAATTACTTTAACAGTTGCAAAGTTAAGAGAAACGCTTTCTACAAACTAGAAAGGTAATAAAAAAAAAAAAAGAAAAAATTGCACTATACTATATAAAAAATAATTTTCAATTTTCTTGGATCTTCTTTTAGAATTAAATAAAGATTATGTACAATACAAGATTATGTACAATACAAATATTTTACAAGAGAATAAATTCTTCTTTTTAAAAAGCAATAATATTTTTTAATAATATAACAAAATAATAATATTTAATAATTTAATAAAATAATAAAATTACAAAGAAATATTGTTACCATGTCGATTTGATGTTATTCATATCTCTTTTTACTTATTACTTTCTCTCTTCTACTACTTTGACAAATACATATGTGCTCTATTCATTCTACACGATTACTACGATTCCTTCTGATTGTTGGAAAGTGGCGCTGTTCTTTTTTTTTTTTTTTTTTTCCTAGGAAATAACACTGTTTCCCGCGAACAGCGTACGGGGAATCACTTCGATCGGTCGTATACCAGTATCGAGACGACGATCCTCTCGCCCCATACAATTTTGCGAGACACCCCATCCCAGGTCGCAAAAGCGCGCGCGAACCCACGTCAGAATATGTGCCGGCGTGTTTCCTCACGGACAGTGCCATCCGCACCCCGATCACGTAGCTCAGGAAATCTCAACAGATAGACGCAAGCCGGAGTATGGAGTCACCCCAAGCGGCTCGAATGGGAATACACCTTCGTTCCCAATGTTGAAAGACGTCCGACAGCTCGACTCTATCGCGAATGAGGGACCGCGTCAGCGACTTTCGGGATGAGAACGCGCGCATCGTTCGGGGCATTTCCGATTTTCGCGCGTTGGGCCAATATCGCGAGATAACACCTCCCTTAGATTTATTACGACAGATAACTCTGTACCTTCTCTCCTGAAGGGCTCGCTCGATTACTCCAAATTCCAAGTGCTGTTTTTTAAAACGACTTACTTTAATAATCCACTTCTAATCTAACTTACGGTTACAGACCCCGAAGAGAAGCCATATTAAGCTATATTTCGATCTCGCGAAGAATTATGTTCGTTTTGACACCGATATTATTCTCAACGTTTATTGAATTATTTAATCGAATCTCAGAGAGATCTACTGATCTGTTTGATCTTGCCTTTTACGATCTATTTTCAAGAGCCGACATTTGGCTTGACTGTTATTTCAAAACCAATAAATTCGGAATGTCTTTTTCCTATTGGAAATCATCGATATTAGCCTGCGCCGTTGTGACCCCTAAATATACGACTGTCTAAACTACTGATCTCGTGAATATATTGAATCGCGTTTGTCATCTTGAGTGAATAAAACTCGGGAGGATCTAAAGCGGTGTTTCTTCGCGACCCGCCCGCAATTGCAGAATTGCTTCCGCACATGCGATTTTGATTAGATACATCATAAAAGCTTTATTTTTCGCGAATGGAATCGTGCGGAACGTCTACTTGCATGTCCGGGTTTATGATCATAATTGATTCCTGCATCGTTCCTTCCTCCCTCATGCGACCGGAATACGTCGGTGGGACGTTACTCGAAGCAAAACGTGAGCGAGATACAGCTGCGGCAACCGTATCGGCGATTTATAGCGGGACAAATACAGATGGGGAACTTTTCGAGCCGTAAGACGTGTCGGGAAAATGCTTTCGGCTTTCGACAGGCTCTCTCTTTACCGGTCCGTCTTACCTCACGTCCGTCGCGCATGTAAAGTAATAATGGGAAATCGAGCGAGAATAGCGTCCGTTCGATTTCTCACGCAAGCACTGATACTGTCGTGCCGCGGATCAGAACAAGCTGGCATAAAAAGTGCCGCAAGACAAGAGAAGAGGAAAGGCACGCTTGCTCGAACGCGAGTTCAACGTAGCGCGTAACATGTGACATTTTATGGCTGGTAATCTAGAGGATAAAAAAAAGTCGGTTAATTCCGTAACATTAAGAATTATCGCGGTATTTTGGTGCTCAGATGAGAACAGATATAAGCGATCTATCTCGTCAGCGTGAGCGCTTATATATGGGAGAGATACGCGAATCCGAGATAAAAGCTAAAGTAGCTAATAATATCAAAAGATTTATAATTAGACATACGTACGACATACTTTTTATTTAAACAAAGCTCTTTTAGAAGAAAAGTCATGTGAACGAAGACAAAAAAGAATATAACTTTATGTAATAAGCATATAACAACGTCTATCAAATAAAGTTCATTAAGAATATTAACAAAGTATAATTGATACTTGTGTTGAAAATTCTGTTAAAATTTTTTCAACTGAATAAGTGGAATTAACCAAATGTTTTTCTCTAAAAGTATAACATTCTCACAAAGTATTCTTTTAGTAAGATAGAAGAATGTTGATGTACATGCAGTTAATGTAGTTTTATATATATATATATATATATATATATTTCTATATATAATTATCCAATTTTATAAGCATTTTTCGAATCACGTAGAAATTTTTAAAAATGTTTTCGCTACATTTTATTATATCATGTCGGCATGGCATCTCAGAACAGTATGTATTTTATAGAGCCGAGCACATGTATGGCTACTTCTACCGCAATATACAGCGAGTGACATGGAAAGTCTTCTCTATATCCTCATATTTCTGATTTGTTACTTCGTAGCTCCTGTCTGTTTGGATGTCGTTGAGAACATTTGACAGAGCTTTCAGTCGTATAGGGGAAAATGCTGCACCACAATTTCTACCGAGAGAGTGTCGACCGAAATATTTGAAAATAAGCTGCGAAAATCTCTAGTCTATTACATTCGTCATTTTCGTCGAAGCCAGTCTTATAGAAAATAGCTATGTCAGAGTAGCGAGTATGTTCGTTAAACATTAAAGAGATACAAAGGCCAAGGTACAATCGTAATGTATCGGAGTATTTGTATTTATATATGTATTCGTTTATTCGGTGCGATTTCCGCACCGAATAAACGCACCGCGACTGTTTTTATCACGGACGAATTTTAATTATCGGCCTTAATCAAAGCTTAATCGCCTGGAATTATTTCGAAATAGCAATGTATAAAACATTCGATGCTTTTAAAATGATGTTTAATCAGCCGCGAGGTCTCCGAGCCGGATGCACACGGAAAGACTCATCATTAACATTCGGACTATAATCGCGTATCTCTCTCTCTCTCGTTGCCCATGTAATTTGATCTCATTAGTATGATGATTCTTTGGTAGCGAGCCCGCTTCATCTGCGACCAATTTTGCAACTCATTTTGCGTAAGACCCATTGCGATGTGATTAAACTCACGCGTAATCCAATGTCCGGTTCTGTATGCGAGGGAGGGACCTTCCTCCCCGCGAGAATCCCTCCCTCGATCCTGTCGAAATTCGATAAAGCGTAATTTGTAGCATTAACACGCCGCGGACACGTGATTAAATCTTACGCGACTGTAATCTCGCTCGCGAAACGGGAACGGATCGCCCTACCCATCCGTCTCTAGAAAATTGTGCGACAAATTGAAATGCGCACTGTATACCCTCCCCTCCCCCCCATCCTCCTGCCCGCACCTGTCCGATCCCCTTTTTTCGCCTTTACATAATGGTGTATCCGTAGTAATTACTGGAATGGACTGTAACTCTCTCACGGGCGGGCGAAATAAATGAAATAGCAACGTTTATTCGACAATCCGGTGAGGAGGTGCCTCCACGCGCTCCGTCGCGGAATTGCAATTGATAATAATTGAGAATGGCGCGCGGTTTCATCCCACGCTGATCGTTAACTCTCTCGCACTTTTAATTTCTTGTTGACGGGAAATAACGATGCGCCATCGCAATCCGTAGCTTTATATCACGCATCGTTACAACGATGCTCCCAAAATCTCTGCTGCATTTCCATTCGTATCACATATTCACGTTCTCTTGCGAGTTACGAGTTTTTGAAACGCGTATTGGAATATCCACACAGAGCATTGCTATATCTAACAGCGTAAATTATATTATTTTCGTTAGACATCGTTATATTTGATGAAATTCTGTTTATAGCTCGGCTTGCACCAACGTTATTTTGGCTTTAGGCGAGCTTTAAATATAATGTGTCTGTCTTTATTTTTCTTTCTAAATAAATTAAACCGCACCAAAAGCGAAAATAACGTTGATGCAATCGGGTCAAAGCTATTGTGTTTTTTAACCTAGTCGTAAATAAGCATACTTTACATTACAATATTCTGAGAAATACGATTGATCTTCAAAGTGCCAAATAGTCTACTATCTATTTCAGTTATTACACTCCCTCGGGGAAATGTTTCCAATTTTACAGAAACGCAGTTATATATGTCTAACACATGCATGCCTTTTCGATAGCAATGGAACTACTTCGAGGCAATTTACCGGCGGGTATACTACGATATTCATAACATTTCGCTGATAGCATACAATATCTCGTGTGGGAGTTCTTTTACATAACAAACATAACAAACATAACAAACTAATAATCGCCTATCAGAAAATAATGATTTATCCGCGATGCCGCTTGAAAAACAAGTATAAATATCGCTTTTCCGAAATCAAATTGCGATTGTAATGACTTTCCTATTAATTATTCCTATTAATTATCGAAACTTTGCAAATTAAATATATATATATATATATATATATATATATATTGCAAATTAAATAAATAAATATATATATATATATATACAGACATTTTCATCAAAAATTGTTATTATATAGTCATCAATATATAGTAATCAAATAACAATTAATCACGTTCATAATGTCAATGTGTAGGTAGATAATTGCAACAACGTGTAAAGTATAATTTTTTTTATATTTTAATAAAAAAGTACTTTAATAAAAAGTACTTTAAATTTAATACAG